GTAATAATAGGGACATTTCATCTGCACCTACACGGTAATAATAGGGACATTTCATCTGCACCTACACGGCAATTATAGGGACATTTCATTTAGACCTACACGGTAATTATAGGGACATTTCATCTGCACCTACACGGTAATTATAGGGACATTTCATTTAGACCTACACGGTAATTATAGGGACATTTCATTTAGACCTACACGGTAATTATAGGGACATTTCATTTAGACCTACACGGTAATTATAGGGACATTTCATCTGCACCTACACGGTAATTATAGGGACATTTCATTTAGACCTACACGGTAATTATAGGGACATTTCATTTAGACCTACACGGTAATAATAGGGACATTTCATCTGCACCTACACGGTAATAATAGGGACATTTCATCTGCACCTACACGGTAATAATAGGGACATTTCATCTGCACCTACACGGTAATAATAGGGACATTTCATCTGCACCTACACGGTAATAATAGGGACATTTCATCTGCACCTACACGGTAATAATAGGGACATTTCATCTGCACCTACACGGTAATAATAGGGACATTTCATCTGCACCTACACGGTAATAATAGGGACATTTCATCTGCACCTACACGGTAATAATAGGGACATTTCATCTGCACCTACACGGTAATAATAGGGACATTTCATCTGCACCTACACGGTAATAATAGGGACATTTCATCTGCACCTACACGGTAATTATAGGGACATTTCATCTGCACCTACACGGTAATTATAGGGACATTTCATCTGCACCTACACGGTAATTATAGGGACATTTCATCTGCACCTACACGGCAATTATAGGGACATTTCATCTGCACCTACACGGCAATTATAGGGACATTTCATCTGCACCTACACGGTAATTATAGGGACATTTCATCTGCACCTACACGCACCTACACGGTAATTATAGGGACATTTCATCTGCACCTACACGGTAATAATAGGGACATTTCATCTGCACCTACACGGTAATAATAGGGACATTTCATCTGCACCTACACGGCAATTATAGGGACATTTCATCTGCACCTACACGGTAATTATAGGGACATTTCATCTGCACCTACACGGTAATAATAGGGACATTTCATCTGCACCTACACGGTAATAATAGGGACATTTCATTTAGACCTACACGGTAATTATAGGGACATTTCATCTGCACCTACACGGTAATTATAGGGACATTTCATCTGCACCTACACGGTAATTATAGGGACATTTCATCTGCACCTACACGGTAATTATAGGGACATTTCATCTGCACCTACACGGTAATAATAGGGACATTTCATCTGCACCTACACGGTAATAATAGGGACATTTCATCTGCACCTACACGGTAATTCACTAACGGCCAAAAATGTTTAGCAGCTGTTTGGCGTGGTGGGGAAGATATTTTGGTTTGCCGTTTTTGTGAACCAAACTAAAACTAGCCCCACCCCCATTCACACCCAGCTGAGGCAAACATAAAGCCCCCCCCCCCCCTCCTCCCCGCCCATCCCCCAATCCACCTTTGGCTGACCCAAATATTTTTTTTAATCGAATATTTATTTTAATAATTTCTTATCTTTTTTTTACTGACTTGATTAAATATTGAATACAAAACAAAAACAGAAACACGGCCAAGTTCAAGGCCTTTAAGGCTCTACTTAGGTTTTCTATTTCCGGCCATCTGAAGTCAACTCGATGTCTTGACTTTGAAGTCAACTCGATGACTTGACTTTAAAGTTATCGACAAATCTCGAGCAGGCTGGATTCGTTCAGAGGATTTAGGGAGGGGTGGAGGTGGGGTGGAGGGGGGGGGGGTGGGGTTGAAGCTATTGATTCAAGTGTTCGATGTATCGGCGACAGATTTCAGCGGCTGTACACCGGATTAAGCTCGGATTAAAATCTACAGAAACTTTTACTTGAAATAACTCGGCTTTGATGGATCGGCCCCATTGGCTCTAAGCTAAGGAACGTTCGAGAAATAAAAACTTTTAAAGATATTTATTTTTAAAAAAATATTTTAAATGCACTAAAGGTAAAAAAAAATTAAACACTTTGACTTTTAACACATACCAATTGTTCCTGGACGCCAAAATGTATAAGGGATTTGTATAAACGATCAACTCTTTAACTAAAAATATTTTAGTGCATTTTAAAGCTGGGTAGTATACAGAATTTTATACTTGTTTTATTATCAGGCAGACAGACAGACAGGCAGGCAGGCAGAGACAGATAGATGGACAGATATACAGACAGACAGACAGACGGACGGACGGACAGACAGACAGACATACGGACGGACGGACGGACGGACGAACGGACAGACAGACAGACAGACATTTAGAACTAAGAAAATCTTGAAATAAAATAAAATGGAAACATCTTGGAATCCACGGGCCAAATGAGTGTGCCACAATACAACAAACAGGCTAGCTCAGCGAACAGACACATCGTTAGTGTAGTGACGAGATGAACTGACGTCAATGTGAACGGTCTGTTGACGTGTAATTTCTACTGACGTCCAAAAAGACCAAACAAGGTTTAGAAGTTTAAAGGCCCAAATAAGTTTAGAAATTCGAAGGATAAAAAAAGTTTAGAAATTCGAAGGATAAAAAAAGTTTAGAAATTCGAAGGATAAAAAAAGTTTAGAAATTCGAAGGATAAAAAAAGTTTAGAAATTCGAAGGATAAAAAAAATTTAGAAATTCGAAGGATAAAAAAAGTTTAGAAATTCGAAGGATAAAAAAAGTTTAGAAATTCGAAGGATAAAAAAAGTTTAGAAATTCGAAGGATAAAAAAAGTTTAGAAATTCGAAGGATAAAAAAAGTTTAGAAATTCGAAGGATAAAGTTTAGAAATTTCATCAATGGAAAAAATGGCTACGATCTTTAATGTTGGGTGAGTACTATTTAGTGATGAGTTTTAATGGGCACAAAATGACACAGCAAGTTACACTTTCTATAAAAGTCATTTCGTGGATAAGCCATGCATTCTACTTGTTGAAGATTAACAAGCGAATTAGCCAATGGATTAACCTGCGGAGATTTAAATGTCAAGTCTATGCGCCAGTGACAATCAAATAAAACATACACGGATGTCAAGATTGGATAGGCAGCGCCATCTACAATATTTTACCAAACAACAACAACTTTTTTTTGACAGGAATTGGATTAACACATGTGATTTACGTAGGTGAATTATGTAGGTGAATTATAGAGGTGAATTATAAAGGTGAATTATGGAGGTGAATTTTGTAGGCGAATTATAGTGGTGAATTATGGAGAGGAATTATGGAGAGGAATTATGGAGGTGAATTATAGAGGTGAATTATGGAGGTGAATTATAGAGGTGAATTATAGAGGTGAATTATGGAGGTGTATTATGGAGGTGAATTATGGAGAGGAATTTTGGAGGTGAATTATAGACGTTAATTCTCTACAGCCTCCCCCCCCCCCCCTTTCAAGAAACGTACATAAATAGATTTGAATTAACATCGCCCAATGTGGACAACCGAGTGTGGACCACTGGAGGGCCAACAGTGGACCACTGGAGGGCCAACAGTGGACCACTGGAGGGCCAACAGTGGACCACTGGAGGGCCAACAGTGGACCACTGGAGGGCCAACAGTGGACCACTGGAGGGCCAACAGTGGACCACTGGAGGGCCAACAGTGTGGACCACTGGAGGGCCAACAGTGTGGACCACTGGAGGGCCAACAGTGTGGACCACTGGAGGGCCAACAGTGTGGACCACTGGAGGGCCAACAGTGTGGACCACTGGAGGGCCAACAGTGGACCACTGGAGGGCCAACAGTGGACCACTGGAGGGCCAACAGTGGACCACTGGAGGGCCAACAGTGGACCACTCGAGGGCCAACAGTGGACCACTGGAGGGCCAACAGTGGACCACAAGAGGGCCAACAGTGTGGACCACAAGAGGGCCAACAGTGTGGACCACTGGAGGGCCAACAGTGGACCACTGGAGGGCCAACAGTGTGGACCACTGGAGGGCCAACAGTGTGGACCACTGGAGGGCCAACAGTGTGGACCACTGGAGGGCCAACAGTGTGGACCACTGGAGGGCCAACAGTGTGGACCACTGGAGGGCCAACAGTGGACCACTGGAGGGCCAACAGTGGACCACTGGAGGGCCAACAGTGGACCACTCGAGGGCCAACAGTGGACCACTCGAGGGCCAACAGTGGACCACTGGAGGGCCAACAGTGGACCACAAGAGGGCCAACAGTGTGGACCACAAGAGGGCCAACAGTGTGGACCACTGGAGGGCCAACAGTGGACCACTGGAGGGCCAACAGTGGACCACTGGAGGGCCAACAGTGGACCACTGGAGGGCCAACAGTGGACCACAAGAGGGCCAACAGTGTGGACCACTGGAGGGCCAACAGTGTGGACCACTGGAGGGCCAACAGTGGACCACTGGAGGGCCAACAGTGTGGACCACTGGAGGTCCAAAAGTGGACCACTGGAGGGCCAACAGTGGACCACTGGAGGGCCAACAGTGGACCACTGGAGGACCAACAGTGGACCACTGGAGGGCCAACAGTGGACCACTGGAGGGCCAACAGTGTGGACCACTGGAGGGCCAACAGTGTGGACAACTGGAGGGCCAACAGTGGACCACAAGAGGGCCAACAGTGTGGACCACTGGAGGGCCAACAGTTTGGACCACTGGAGGGCCAACAGTGTGGACCACTGGAGGGCCAACAGTAGACCACTGGAGGGCCAACAGTGGACCACTGGAGGGCCAACAGTGTGGACCACTGGAGGGCCAACGGTGGACCACTGGAGGGCCAACAGTGTGGACCACTGGAGGGCCAACGGTGGACCACAAGAGGGCCAACAGTGTGGATCACTGGAGGTCCAAAAGTGGACCGCTGGAGGGCCAACAGTGTGGACCACTGGAGGGTCAACATTGTGGACCACTATAGGCCACCATTGCTTAAAGTCACGTGACAAGTGTTACCTTGGTGGGCAGCCGGACGTCGACAGGTACATCCAGCCTAGGAATGGTGGTCAGCATGTACTCCTGAAACACTCCGAGTCTCGTGTAGAAACACCCCATCTCCCAACACCCCTCGATGTTGTCGAAATCCACACCCATCCGCTTGAGAAAATGCACACTTTTCACGTCAAACGCGATTTGGTGCGGCTTGTTATAGAGCACCTGTTTGCACAACTCTTCGTAGAGGACTATCCGGGCCACGCGTCCGGAGCGGGCCGCCACTAGCATGGAGGTCAGGCCGATGGGGCCGGCGCCGATGATGATGACGGACACCCGGGCGTTGCGGCGTCTGAAGGAGTCGACCAGCGTCTTGGTGCACACGAAGCACGTGACGATGAGGACGGATATGAGGATCTGGTGGAGGACGTAGGCCGACTCGACCAGCACCGCCGTGCCGGACAGGTCGCCCTGCCGGTGCTCGTGGTGCCGGCACTGCTGGCCGGCCGCCTGGTTCTCGTTCATGGGGACCAGGTGGTAGAGGGATAGCGCAGGCACGGAGCTCATCGGGGACGGGTGGGATCCGAACCCACGCACATCAGAACTGTTGGACTTGCTTGGTCTGAAAAATGGAATAAATGGTTCAGTGAGGCTGAAATCTATGGATGAGTGAGATAAAGGCTACAGGAGCTAAAGGCCACAAGAACTAAAGACTACACACAACAGACACCAAAACACAGCTGACCATCAACACTGCTCATGTCAACATGTTTTTGTTTTCAACACACAAATCGTGTTTTTGTCAACATGGTGATCCCACGATAATACCAGCGGATTAACGGCTCAATTTCAACTGGATTAGCTCCAGCGTTAGCCCACACAGATACGCTCACACAGACACCACGTGATTTGTTTACTCCAGCCATCTGACGCACGAGTAAACAACACCACGTGGTCACGTGGTTCCCGTAACTCTGGTCTGGACACATAAAACGGCCAGTTGTTAAGTCGACCAGAGATTTTTCACGCTATCATAACCTGCGCATGCGCAGACCGTGATTTAACCACGTGTTCACGCTCGAGCGAGTTCACGGCACGTGACGAAATAAAGTGACGCTGTAAATCTCGCGACGGCGCGTGTTTCACGCGTGAGTAGGCACGTACGCCATTAATGTCCGGGCGAATTTTAAAATCAATCGATTGGTGGGATCTTAACTACACGCCTGGATATGTGTCTGGCGAAATGCCCGGCTGAGTGTCCGGCTAAATGTCCGGCTATGTGTCCGATGACAGATCCAGCAAAATATCCATGTACATGTCTGACAAACATGGCAAAATGTCTGGTGAAATGTTCGGTTACATGCAGAAAAAAAAATCTCACTACTTTCATAAGCTCCAGAATTGGTTCAATAACACCTGAACCTGTAGGTTTAAGAACACCTGAACCTGTAGGTTTAAAAACACCTGAACCTACACGAGAACGACTCCTGAGCGGTACTCCCGTCTTTCTATAGCCACGGAGGATACGAACCCACCCGCCCTGAGACAGACATCAGTGCACAAGCACCCGACCTCCGTGTTCCGTGTGACGTGCTGACCACGTGATTTGATCAACTCGTCACGTGTGCCGATAAACTTTTGTCAGGCTCCTGCCAGCAGGGAGTTAACCTGCACCACAGCAGGGGCGATAACTGCACCAACAGCAGGGGCGATAACTGCACCACAGCAGGGGCAGTAACTGCACTGATATTGTCTTATTGATGGCAATAAGGAGAGAGGAATGTATTGGTACGCCACACGTGTTCGCAGGTCAATAGCAGCAACCTTGACCTTCTCTGAACACGCAGCAACTAGACTGAGTCGGCATTGATCTCACTCGTCACAGACACACGCACTGCCAACTGTCTCGAGATCTCGTCACAGACACACGCACTGCCAACTGTCTCGAGATCTCGTCACAGACACACGCACTGCCAACTGTCTCGAGATCTCGTCACAGACACACGCACTGCCAACTGTCTCGAGATCTCGTCACAGACACACGCACTGCCAACTGTCTCGAGATCTCGTCACAGACACACGCACTGCCAACTGTCTCGAGATCTCGTCACAGACACACGCACTGCCAACTGTCTCGAGATCTCGTCACAGACACACGCACTGCCAACTGTCTCGAGATCTCGTCACAGACACACGCACTGCCAACTGTCTCGAGATCTCGTCACAGACACACGCACTGCCAACTGTCTCGAGATCTCGTCATAGACACACGCACTGCCAACTGTCTCGAGATCTCGTCATAGACACACGCACTGCCAACTGTCTCGAGATCTCGTCATAGACACACGCACTGCCAACTGTCTCGAGATCTCGTCATAGACACACGCACTGCCAACTGTCTCGAGATCTCGTCATAGACACACGCACTGCCAACTGTCTCGAGATCTCGTCACAGACACACGCACTGCCAACTGTCTCGAGATCTCGTCATAGACACACGCACTGCCAACTGTCTCGAGATCTCGTCATAGACACACGCACTGCCAACTGTCTCGAGATCTCGTCACAGACACACGCACTGCCAACTGTCTCGAGATCTCGTCACAGACACACGCACTGCCAACTGTCTCGAGATCTCGTCATAGACACACGCACTGCCAACTGTCTCGAGATCTCGTCATAGACACACGCACTGCCAACTGTCTCGAGATCTCGTCATAGACACACGCACTGCCAACTGTCTCGAGATCTCGTCACAGACACACGCACTGCCAACTGTCTCGAGATCTCGTCACAGACACACGCACTGCCAACTGTCTCGAGATCTCGTCACAGACACACGCACTGCCAACTGTCTCGAGATCTCGTCATAGACACACGCACTGCCAACTGTCTCGAGATCTCGTCACAGACACACGCACTGCCAACTGTCTCGAGATCTCGTCATAGACACACGCACTGCCAACTGTCTCGAGATCTCGTCACAGACACACGCACTGCCAACTGTCTCGAGATCTCGTCACAGACACACGCACTGCCAACTGTCTCGAGATCTCGTCACAGACACACGCACTGCCAACTGTCTCGAGATCTCGTCATAGACACACGCACTGCCAACTGTCTCGAGATCTCGTCACAGACACACGCACTGCCAACTGTCTCGAGATCTCGTCACAGACACACGCACTGCCAACTGTCTCGAGATCTCGTCACAGACACACGCACTGCCAACTGTCTCGAGATCTCGTCATAGACACACGCACTGCCAACTGTCTCGAGATCTCGTCACAGACACACGCACTGCCAACTGTCTCGAGATCTCGTCACAGACACACGCACTGCCAACTGTCTCGAGATCTCGTCATAGACACACGCACTGCCAACTGTCTCGAGATCTCGTCATAGACACACGCACTGCCAACTGTCTCGAGATCTCGTCATAGACACACGCACTGCCAACTGTCTCGAGATCTCGTCACAGACACACGCACTGCCAACTGTCTCGAGATCTCGTCACAGACACACGCACTGCCAACTGTCTCGAGATCTCGTCATAGACACACGCACTGCCAACTGTCTCGAGATCTCGTCACAGACACACGCACTGCCAACTGTCTCGAGATCTCGTCATAGACACACGCACTGCCAACTGTCTCGAGATCTCGTCACAGACACACGCACTGCCAACTGTCTCGAGATCTCGTCATAGACACACGCACTGCCAACTGTCTCGAGATCTCGTCATAGACACACGCACTGCCAACTGTCTCGAGATCAGCTCAACCCCCGGGGGCTGACATAATTGGCACAGTGTCACCCCACCGCCTCACCCCCCCCCCCCCCAATGTTGACGTAGTCGTCAAAATTCAAACAGACTACACTTTACCCAGCCCCAATACAAATGTAAAAGTCTGCTGCAGAGGACAGATAAAGCCCTAACACACCTCACCGTAACACACCTAAACCTAACACACCTAACCCTAACACACATAACCCTAACACAGCTAACCCTAACACAGCTAACCCTAACACAGCTAACACACCTAACCCTAACACACCTAACCCTAACACAGTAAAACAATGTGTCACAGTTCCTCACTTATTTTCTTGACTATTAAAATCTAAGCCGCTTCAAGGAGAATGGAAATAGCTCACAGCACTCAACTTGCCAGTTATGTCAATTGAGACATATATATGACATATGATAATCAAAATCATGGCACATTTTACGCAATACATAATTTACCCGTGTCTAATAGCACGCCCCGTCCCCCCACCACGCCACGCACCCCTTAAACACCTACAGAAAACAGAACAGCCAGAATCTCCTGACACCATACAAGAACAGAACCTCCTGACACCATACAAAGACAGCTAGAACCTCCTGACACCATACAAGAACAGAACCTCCTGACACCATACAAATACAGAACCTCCTGACACCATACAAATACAGAACCTCCTGACACCATACAAAGACAGCTAGAACCTCCTGACACCATACAAGAACAGAACCTCCTGACACCATACAAAGACAGCTAGAACCTCCTGACACCATACAAGAACAGAACCTCCTGACACCATACAAATACAGAACCTCCTGACACCATACAAAGACAGCTAGAACCTCCTGACACCATACAAATACAGAACCTCCTGACACCATACAAAGACAGCTAGAACCTCCTGACACCATACAAATACAGAACCTCCTGACACCATACAAATACAGAACCTCCTGACACCATACAAAGACAGCTAGAACCTCCTGACACCATACAAATACAGAACCTCCTGACACCATACAAAGACAGCTAGAATCTCATGACACCATACAAAGACAGCCTGTCATCTTTAGCCAAATGTTTGCGGCTAATTAACCGTAAACAATTAACTTCTCAAATATTATGAACAGCACGCCACAATGATAATTAAAGATGTCCAGATAATTAGCACAATAAAGGCCAAGCAAGACGACACAAAGTAATTAGTGTATGGGCCATTAACACTAATTAACCTACCTTTTATCTCATCAGAGAGGTCACATGACTGGGTGGCTACATAGGTCCCGTCATGCATCGCTCCACAGGCTGGTCACGTGGTAACCGTTTGTCAAGAAAACCCCGAGTTACTCCAGAAATGTGGTCTTCTATTTTAGACTTGGTCTTTTTATGTCTAGTTAGACGATTTAAAAGACTTGTTTCTCTCTAAAAATTATGTCTGATTCGGCCAAGAATACTTCTCCACTACAAAAACTCTTGTTTCTTTAGAAGAAGAAAACTTGGTCAAAATGACTTGTATAATTAGCCGAAGAAAACTTGGTCAAAATGATTTGTTTCAATGGCCAAGCTTCAAAAACTGTATGATCTGAAAGCACATCTCAGCTGAAAGAAGAATAACATATAACAATTAACAAAAGCTCTTAATTAAAGAAAACAGACTTACAACAACAAACAAAAGCTCTTAATAAAAGAAAACAATACTAAACAAAATCTCTCAAAGAAAAGTAAACAAAATCTCACAAGCACAGCTTATTGACTAAAATGTTGCCAAGTCTTGAAACGTTCAATTATAACCTAATAGGCTACAGCAATGAATAAAACGTTGTAACGGCATAAAAATGTTTGGTGTTCGGGAAAAAAATGTTTGGTGTTCGGGATAAAAATGTTTGGTGTTCGGGATAATAAATCATTACGACGATAACCGGCTGTTGAAAACTGATCAAAAACTGATCAAAAACTGATCAAAAACTGATCAAAAACTGATCAAAAACTGATCAAAAACTGATCAAAAACTGATCAAAAACTGATCAAAAACTGATCAAAAACTGATCAAAAACTGATCAAAAACTGATCAAAAACTGATCAAAAACTGATCAAAAACTGATCAAAAACTGATCTAAAACTGACCAAAAACTGATCAAAAACTGATCAAAAACTGATCAAAAACTGATCAAAAACTGATCAAAAACTGATCAAAAACTGATCTAAAACTGATCAAAAACTGATCAAAAACTGATCAAAAAACTGATCAAAAACTGATCTAAAACTGATCAAAAACTGATCAAAAACTGATCAAAAACTGATCAAAAACTGATCAAAAACTGATCTAAAACTGATCAAAAACTGATCAAAAACTGATCAAAAACTGATCAAAAACTGATCAAAAACTGATCAAAAACTGATCAAAAACTGATCAAAAACTGATCAAAACTGATCAAAAACTGATCAAAAACTGATCAAAAACTGATCTAAAACTGATCTAAAACTGATCAAAAACTGACCAAAAACTGATCAAAAACTGATCAAAAACTGATCAAAAACTGATCAAAAACTAATCAAAAACTGATCAAAAACTGATCAAAAACTGATCAAAAACTGAACAAAAACTGATCAAAAGCTGATCAAAAACTGATCTAAAACTGAGGTTTGTAAATTGATCTTTTTCATCCGTACAGAGAATATAGGCCAGTCTAGTGACGTCAGTCGTGTTGGTGGTGGTTGGGGGGGGGGGGGGGGGGTAGTGTGTTTCATAAGAATAGGCGTGTTTAGGTAAGTCACGTGATGAGTACTCGTGTGGGTGTTGAGTGTATGTGTGTGAGAGAGTGAGATAATGTATGTGTGTGTGTGAGAGTGACTTTATGTATGTTTTAGGGGAGTATGTGTGTGTATATGTGTGTAAGTGTGTGTATGTGTGTGTATGTGTGTAGCCTACATGTGTGAGAAAACCTTACAAAACAAATGGAGTCTTTAAGAGTTAATTACATTCTAACTCATTTCAAATGTGCTTTTTTCATTACACACGATTACATTACACACATTTACATTACACACGATTACATTACACACACGTTGATTTAGGAACTTCGGTTTTTCAAGTCGGAAAAGTTAGTCCATTTACTGACTATGACAACTGACACAGACGTCATATGTTACAATGACAACAACATATGACACATACGTCATATGTCACAATGACAACTGACACAGACGTCATATGTCAGCATAAAAAAACAACCCAGAAATGGAGCCACAAGCCAGAGATTACAACTCCCCCCACCCAGCCCCACCCACTCCGACTAGCTCCACTCCCACCCCACCCTTTAGCCCCACCCCACCCCCCTCCCACCCCACCCCGACTAGCTTCACTCCCCCTACCCCCCACCCCCTCCCCCCCACCCCGACTAGCTCCACTCCCCCTACCCCCAACCCCCTCCCCCCACCCAGCCCCACCCCACCCTTTAGCCCCACCCCCACCCCACCCTTCCCCTCAGAGCTCCCGCTGGGTGGGGACCTTACATCCGACTGTACCGTCATTGACTCTCGCCACACGGTAGGAAAAGTTGAATGAACTCGTGTAAGTAGATAGATCTCATTACACGTGTAAGTAGATAGATCTCATTACACGTGTAAGTAGATAGATCTCATTACACGTGTAATCAGAAGACCAATAGATCTCATTACACATGTAATCAGACGGCCAGCATGTGAGAAGGTGCTTGAAATGGCACCAACTGTCCCTGGTTTTCATCGGCTTCTCAGGTGTCTGTGTGGCGTAATGACGTCCTACACAATCTGTGTGGCGAAATGACGTACTACACACAATCTGTGCGGCGAAATGACGTGCTACACATTGTTTTGACCCGTATGGTTGTCTAGACAGACTTCTCCATGCACTAGGAGCGGACATTCATGCAGACTTCTCCGTTTTGTTGTTTGTCTGACCTGCATACGCCTATAACTAGGGACGTAGTAAGACACACTTTACACAGGATAACCAATAACCTAACCCTTGACCCTGACCCTAACCCTGACCCCAGGAGAACCAATAACCTAACCCTAACCCTGACCCCAGGAGAACCAATAACCTAACCCTAACCCTGACCCCAGGAGAACCAATAACCTAACCCTAACCCTAACCCCGCCATCGCCGGGTAAGGCAGCTGTTGAGTGACCTGGATGCTAAGCGTGGTTGTTAACTGCCCGAGTTAGGGTTAGTTAGATATGGTTGCAGCAATGGGTTGGTGGGGGAACTACATTTCTCCGTTTGTGTTCATTAAAAATAGAAAGAAAAATGATGAAAGCCACGATTAACTCAATCACCTTTATACTTTACAAATACGCCCAATCAATCGATGTTGTTAATTGCATTTTTGATTAATTAGGAATGTTTGTATTAGCAATTATACCTATTTTAACAAAACACCCCCGTCCCTTCCCGACCTCAACACACGTCACCTCCTCTTACATCTACACTACCCCTCCCTCCCTCCCTCACCCCACTCCCAACACACCCCACCTTCTCTTACATCTACATTACCCCTCCCTCCCTCACCTCACCCCACCCCAACACACCCCTCCTCTCACATCGAGCCTACACACCTCCCCATACTAACACACCCCACCTCTCACACGTAGCCTACACCCCTCCTCCACCCCAACACACCCCATCAATGCTAACAGATTCTTGTTTTTTCCCCCCACCAAACCAAGGTGAAGGTCGTTGAAGACATTTGTTACCAGACTCCAGCGACAAGGGGAGAGAAGCAATAAGCAAGGGAGATGATTGATAGGGTTATCGTTCTTGTATAGGGGCCGTCACACACGTCACAGCAGACGTCACGGACGTTGTTTAAGGGACGCTCACTGTCACGATAGACGTCATGAATTTGGTTTACAGGATACCCCATGTTGTATGCGGGCTATAGAATGGTGATTAGCATTATGGTGATCTCGTGAACGTCAAACGTATCTTATTGGCTGTGTTTATTTCATTGTTGCAACCCACAGGCCGAGGGGGGGGGGGGGAAGATCGATTGATGACGCAGCTGTCACAGGCCCCAGGGTGAGGGGAAACGTGAATTTTTTTGTTGTAAATGTTTTCTTTTTAAATAGAATTCCCAGCGAGCTTTGCGACCTCGCGATTTCTTCCAATTCTAAAAACAAGTTAATTTAATGGCCTAAAAACTAAAAAGCTGACGATTGAATGAAAGCATTCATTTGATAAAACTGAAAACTGAAAAACAAAAGCTAATGCAAGAGAAAGTCTAAAGAAGTCTCAGCTTCTCAGAGGTTCTCTGAGTTCTATTGCACGGTTAACAAAGCTTGTTTTTGTTCTTTTGTTTAGGGGTTTGATGAGTTCTGTTCTTTTGTTTAAGGGTTTGGTGAATTTTGTTCTTTTGTTTAGGGTTTTGATGAATTCTGTTCTTTTGTTTAGGGTTTTGATGAATTCTGTTCTTTTGTTTAGGGGTTTGGTGAATTATGTTCTTTTGTTTAGGGGTTTGGTGAATTCTGTTCTTTTGTTTAGGGGTTTGGTGAATTCTGTTCTTTTGTTTAGGGGTTTGGTGAATTATGTTCTTTTGTTTAGGGGTTTGGTGAATTCTGTTCTTTTGTTTAGGGGTTTGGTGAATTCTGTTCTTTTGTTTAGGGGTTTGGTGAATTTTGTTCCATTGTTTAGGGGTTTGGTGAATTTTGTTCTTTTGTTTTTATCTTTGGGGACACCAGTACACACAGTCCTACAGACACAGTTTGTCATGAATATGCTGGGCATCCAAACTTAGGTCTGTAAATAAATTAAACTGACATTTGCAGAGGCGGAACTTACTTGCTGTCAGACCTCGCAATGTGTAGGAGGGTGGGAGGGGGCAGGTCGTTTAATGGGCCTAAAATCCGACAAAAAAAACAAACATTTTTTTCATCCACCTTGATAGATTAGTTGTTTTGTGTAAACAGTGGTGATTGTTCAACAGTAACTAGCACACGGTAACCCGCCCCCCCCCCCTCCCCAAAAAAAATATTATAAGATGTAGAGTGAAAGATAGACAAATGCGAAAAAATACACCCCAAAATAAATAAAACAAACACGGGAAACCATAGCACATATAAAATCTTCATGTTTAAATACTTTTGATCAGCTTGCCAGATATGAAGTTGCTCTATTCATAATTTTTGGCGGGTATAAATTAGAAGAAAAAGAGACCCGAAATGAGCATATTATTGTTGGATATTTGTCTCACGATGGATAAACTTTGTTAAATTACTTAATTAGGAAATGGTTTGAATAAATAACTTAAAATTTACAGAGACAGTCTACTTTATTTATATATGTATATATATATATATATATATATATATATATATATATATATATATATATATATATATATATATATATATATATATATATATATAGGCTACCTATATAAAAAAGCAAATTATATACATTATTAGTCAACAAGACAACACCATATTAAATGCACACACTGATTAAGAGACTTAAATGATTCCGTTAAAATCCCGGCTAGTCAGTGGTATTTATGTTGCTTTTTAAAGTAATTTGCATTACTTTTGGCCTAGAGAATTGTATACATTTCATAACGTATGCC